AAAATGGCAACACTTACCATTTTTGGAACCATAGTTCCAACTATGCTGTTGCATTTATTTTCAGCAATAAGCATTGAAGACTGGGTCTTACAGTGATTTGACCATAGTACGTGGAGTTTTGGGTACTTCTTAACCCAGAAAAAGTCCATCTAAAAAAAATTATAATAATTAAAAATAGAATTAAAAAGTATCCAACAGAGGTCGCTTTCAAACCAAGAGGCATATTGTTGGACAAAAAAATAAATAAATAAAAAATAAATAAATAAATAAATAAATAAATAAAAACAAACGTCTTACCCTAGGGCAAAATTTCCAGATGCATCGATCTCTATACAGATTTTAAGTCTTACATCGCATGGAATCATTTCCACATCCAAATGCTTCATCAGATGCCAAAAGTAAACAACAGATGGTGTTAATATACACTCACAGTGTGCTGTATGCTTTTAGCATTCATCTCCAAATCTCAGATGGTCAGACAGCAATTTAGCTTTTGTGAATTGTTAAAGGAATAGTTCACCAAAAAAGACTAATTATCCAATAATATACTCACCCTCAAGACATCTTTGGTACATGATTTTCTTTTTCCTTGCAGACAAACATATTGAGAGTAGCTTTAAATGTTATCTTAGCTCTTCCATGCTTTATGATGGAGTTTGGTTATACACCATCACCTCATGACCCATCAACCCCCACCCCCTCCGCCCATCCCCCCACACTTTTTTATTTTTATTATTTACAATGGATTTATGGGCTTTTTGATGCTTGATACTACCCAACACCATTATACAGCACGGAAGAGCCAGTATAAAATTTAAAACTACTCCAACTGTGACAGAACAAAAAGTCGCATACACAGAGGATGGCTTGAGGGTGAGTGAATCAGGGGGTAATTTACATTTCTTTGCAAAATATTTCTTTAAAATATTGCTGTTCAGGATTCTCGAGCTCAGAGAATGCACTGTACGCCGAGTGAGTTTAAAACGACTAGCTCAAATCAGTGATGTGAATACACAGTGGTCAAATTCAGATGTTCCCCAATAGTATTATCAGTAAAAGTGAGTAGATGCTTAGACTAGGAAACATCCATGCTCGTCTCTAGCAGGGTAAGAGTCTGGTGATGATTTAAGGGGCACACAACTACAATTTCAATTAAGTGGTTTATCGCCTCCACTCTCATCCTAGGACCCTGATTTTTAACGAGTGCCTGAGAGCAACAACTTGCATTGATCAATGACCCTATGATCATGAACTAAGGCCCCAGTATACTTCAAACTAAGTTTTTTTTTTTTTTTTTATTCTCATTTGAGGGCAAAAAGAAGTTTGAAAAGGCTGGTAAATTGTTTTCAAACACTCGCTGCTGCAGTAGGCAGGGTTGTAAATGTGTCACACTCTTTGCATAGCCTCAACTCAACAAGCTGATTCAAATGCTTTCACAAGATTGAATGGGCGTTATCAGTGGTTATCAGCTGATAGATATGGGTCAGAATGGACCTTCTGTGCCTACTAGTAGGCTCAGAAGGCAGTTACCATCTATCCACATGCTTAATCATCTATAGACCACATTCAATTGTGGCTCACAAAGGCTCATTCTGAAAACATAGCCCTATATGCATTTCTGGAGGTCGCAAATTATGTAGCCAGAAGTAGGTATGGCTGCATTTTATCTTTAAAACGAACGCTCATACCTCCCGTATGATGTGGTCCCTTTTCTCGCTTATCAGCTGTCCGCTTACCTTCGTATGGATGGCTTTTTCGCAGTTACCAGTTTGAGCAGTTAGCTCAACATGAGCTACTTGAGGCATGAGCCTTGTATCTCGGCGGGCTTAAGATGCAGGGACAATGGGTTTTGAGTCTGGTGAGAAATGGTTTTAGAAAGCAGGTAAAACAAAAACAAAAGCTAAAAAAAATTAACAAGTGAATAAAAGGGTGAGAATATAGTAAAATCTGAAAATGTTGTAAAAATTAGGACATTTGTTTTTGGATTGCTTATTAAAACACTGTCTGTTGAGTTTAGATAAGGGGATATGCTTGTCAATCAGTGCTTTTTAAACATTATTGGTTAAGTTGAGGGAAGGGGGAAGGTGAGGGATTGTTCTGTTGGTCAGTCAGTCAGTCCACAGCAGCGTCTAGTTGATTTACGTGAGAACAGCAGGCGCAAATGACATAAGCGAGAGAATTTTACATCTGAAAAAAAAAAAAATGCAAAAGAGTAACTCCCGAGACGAATTTTGCTCTCTCCAGAAATGTATATAGAGGTAGGTAATCAGAATGAGGCTGGATTGTTAAAATCTCTAAATGAGTGATCGTACATGTATGGATACATCTGCCTAGCTCTGCTACTTGACTCTACAATGTATTCATTTAGCAAGTGTTGTTTTTGAGTCTGTTGGACTCACCCCTATGGAATGAGAAACAAACTGGGAGGGTAAAAAAAATCACATCAAAGTAGTCACACTCATTAAATGAGTAAAGGCCAATAGCCGGGTTTCCATTATTGCGCCTAAAGCGAGCGAGCCAGGTGAACCCAAGGCCATGTCAGGTTTCCACTGTCATTTCTGTGATCTGTGTAGGCCAAAGCTGGACTTTCTCGGGGCCAGCGGCCTACCTTTTTTGGCCCACCAACTACCTTGGGCCAAAGAGGGTCAGTTGGGGCATCGGGATGAAGTGAAAAGAGAAGCGGACTTTGCCCGAGTCTGGTAAAGATGGCATGTCATCTTTACACTTGTTTTCCAGTCGTACACGAGTACATGCGCCAAAAAAAAAAAAAAAAAAAAATGAATAAGGGAAAGAAAACATAAAGCTGGTCAGTTTTGATTAGATGAACTGCTGAAACAAACTCTCAAAAAAAAAAGAGATTTTTTGGATTTTGTTTAAAATATACCAGGGCCTTTACTCTATCAAGCAGACTGAAAAACTGAAAAGAAAAGACAGTGTGACCACCTTAAAAGACAGAAAACTGTGAAAGCAGCCTATTTGTTCATTGACAGGTTATGCAGTATCTGTCAGTTACATCATCATTCAGCTCTGAATCCATTGTAAATGTGGGCGGCTGGAAACAAAGGTTCACACCTCTCACCAGAACAAGCGCCATTTCAGTGGAAAAGGGGGCAAAAGCAAGCTCTGTTAGAAAGGTCTTTCTCTGGTGTTAAAATCCTTCTGCATTATAGGAAGGTGTTGATCGCTCAGTGACTGACAGATCGCAATAAAACATGTCTGCTAACTCCAGGGGTTCTTTTAGTCTGTCAGGAGCGGTGACCGAACAGGTAGGGTGCTTTGCCCAGGGCTGATGCTTCATGTTGTTTTGACAGCAGTGAACGACTTGGTCATATCTCTCTCTCCCTGTCTCTTTTTTATTATATCTATCCTACTATCTGGACATCAAGTCAACATGTGGCTCTGAAAGCGAATCTGCTGTGCGACAGAGGGAGATGGTTCATGATCAGAGGTCATGACTCGGGCTCACTGGTGCCAGGCCCCAGCTGAGGATTGAGTTGACAGCAGGGTGACAGACTGTCAGATCGCAGGAATGCAGGCCAATGTGATGGCACCTATGTGGACGGGGACAAAAGATGGGTGTCTGGAAGAAGACCTTCATAGTTCATCTCTGTCTGGCAGGCCCACATGGAATCTGTTCTCAAGATTTCTGAAGAACTAGAACGCATGCCAGTCACAAAGTTGCATCCATCTCCCACCTGAGTTTAGACCCCATGATGTCTAAATGCCAGTTTCAAGAATTGTTTTTTTATAAACTTGTCAAGAAGTTTTCTTCATAGAACTTTAAGAAGAAATAGACATTAAAAGTGTACTTCTACTGGGAAAAGAGACTGCAAATATTAAAGTCTGTGTTAACCGGAAGTTGCTGAGAGTTTATTACAGTATGCTGATGTACTTCCAATTGAAATGGAATATTGAGTAGGGACGGGAGTTATTCCTTCATAGCAAATTGACGTAATCAGAGAAGGACGTTACTCGAAAAACAAAATCAATGGTTAGACTTTGATTGAAGATTACCAAAACTTGCATGGATCTATTGTTCACCTAAAGAATAACAATATGTGCTAACAAAATAAACATTGTAAATTTGATTTCACAAGGACTTGGAAGATTAATAGTATCTGTACACTGCTCTAGAACTAAAATGTTCTTCTGTCTCTGTCAACAATTCATGGATGAAGTGACCCAATTCCTTTTTTTTTTGGCACAGATTGGATACTAATGGAATACAAATATTATCAGGTTGATTTTCTGTTAAAATTGAATTTGATATAAATCAGCTATGTACATTTCAATCTGCCATCCTAGATAACAGACTGGGTTTTTCACTCTTAGTGAGTCTTCTGCAATTTAAAATCAATGGTGGCAAATCATGTCTGCACAGGTGGATGCCAACATATGTTCTGTTTTGCTGACCTTTAAGATTATACAAAAACAATAGATGGAATTAAAATTTGATCTGTGCCCATTAAAAATCCTTTTTAACTCCATGTTGAGTCTAATAAGTAGTCTCCACTGAGTATTACCGGTCAGTTCAACGTAGTACAGGTCATTATGATTAGGTTTGCATTTTCACTGGCAACAGTACCCTTCCTTGGTAGGTATGTTGCATGCCAGAAAGTTGCAATTGACATCAGGGCCAAATCTAGGATGGTCATTTAAGGTGGGCTTTGGTCTAAATTGAGGACCGTGTGGAGCACTTATTGGAATGGGGGTGGGGAGGGAAGGGGGTTGTTGTTATGGGTGGTTGGGGATGATCCCGTACAATGCATCTTTTTTCACTCTCATGTTTATTATTTTAAATGTGGATGAGTGGCAAGCATGCACAGATAGTGATGTGAACAGCCCCATAAACAACAATAGAGGACATGCAGCAAATTCTTGTTTTTTGGCATTTGGGTGGTTGTCACAAGAAGATGACAAGCTTTGTTTGAGCTTGAGACAACCAATATTCACTGATCTGCTCCTATCATTGTATTATTCAGTTTCCTGTTTTGGCTGTGTATTTAAAAATGGTACTTTCCTTGCTGTATTTTCAATAGTTTGTGGGGTAGCTCTAGCTCCAGACTATTGGTACCTTACTTTTAAGCCAGGTACCCTTACAAAAGCTACCCAGGGGCCAACCTCTCTCCCTAGACTTGCAGTCTGTGCCCCAGAGGGCCAACTTGCCCTCCACATAAGGGGTTGTATTTTGGTCCTTTTTTATTTACAGTGGCAACAAATAAATAAATCTGTACCGAATCAGTGGAAACAAAGCATAAGCCTATCCAGGTCAGAATACCTATATCAAATTTGCAACATTTTTGAAAAGTTACATTTATGGATATGGATATAGTTAGCAAATTATAATAGAGCATGAATCATTGCAGCGTAAATACAGCCTTAGATAAAGTATATTTTGCTCCACCTTCCTGTCTCAAAATTAAAAAAAAAAAAAAAGTTCAAAATAGGAAGGAAACTGCATTCATCAAGCAAATATAAGGATTCTTTTCATGGACAAACTTCATTATGCTTTCAGTCACCCATAAGAGAGTAGCACTTTTGAGCCCAATTTAACACATTTGATCAATTTTAAACATTCCTCATTTAAAAATTCTGAAAAAGCAGCAGATTCCATCTGGGCCTACTCATCTGGTATCTACGCATGCAGTCTTTACCACTATGTGAATGTGAAGACATGAAACCAAGGCCGATGTGGAGAGCGGATCAGGGTGACTCCTTTCATATCTAAAGAACAGCGAACATAAGTGCACTCAAAGAGCGAGAGGGGTGGGGGAAGACAAAGGGAGAAACCCAGAGAGCGGGAGCATGGTGGGTTGACTCCGCTAGATTATAGCTCTTAGTATTATTATGATAATCAGGGGTTGTATGGGGATTTTTGGAGGTGGTAGCAGTCCCTCGGAGCGGGCTTTAGTCTAGCAGTTTACTACAGCGCATAATCACTGTCATTATCACCATATTCAACACTGTACTATATTATCCCTTCAGTCCCCATGTAAACAAAGCCTTTGACTAACATAACAAATCTTCCCACATTAGTGCTCAGCTAGAAAAGACGTGTAAAAACAATTCGGTGAGCTAAGGAGGAACAGGGAGAGAACTGTGTAGGCAGGGGAATGTGAAAGAGGGGTCGATGGAAAGCAAAAATCCAGCAAGGGCAGAAAACAGAGAGATGCACAAAACATGACGCACATTGGACGTCTCCGGGGATGAAGGGGGAAAAGTAAACAGCTTCTCCCATGGGCCAGTACAGCAGAGTAAGAGGGTAAAACAGCAGCAGTGTTGTGCCAGATGGGCAGAGGGCCATGAGTCAGGAGCAGATCTCCTTAGAGGGCATCCTAAGCTCTAAGAGCTAGTTCACAATGGTGTATGACAATACATTCAAACGGTCAAACCTGCTGACCAGTTAAAGCTGGTCCTACTCATCATCAACATAGAACATTTTGCACAAAAGAACTAAAAAAAGACTGTTCAGGTCATTGCTTTAAAGAAAAGCTGATCAGACAAGCCTAGGGCTAAATATAAGACTGGGTGTACTAACAACTTGCTGGCCAGCACACCGGCAAACATACTGACCCTGTGTCAATCAGTACAAGTTTCCATGCAATGGATTGCACACACGTCCCCTTAGAAGACTTACATGAGTGAGGGATAAAGAAAGAGATGGGCATTGATTTGAGATGCACAGTGTCCACCTTGACCTCTTTCTAATAACATATTCTCACCTTTGCTCTCACTCTTTCTTTGTATGGCTATGTTTGGAATGCATACTAAAGCTTACTACGCAGTATACACTTTGTTTTAAAATATGTCCTGTGATCAGGGTCTATATAGTGTTTTCTAAACATTTGTGTACTGTTTCACACACAGATGTGTGGAAGTAAAACAATATGTACACTGTGGTCACATGGCCTCATCACATTGTACCAATCTATTCATACTGGAAATTAAACAGAATACAGTATTTGGCTAATTAAATTTGTTTAATTGTCCTAAAGTCCAATCATGGATTGACAAAATATCCATATATTATTTTGATCCCATTTATCATACTGGGAAACAAAAGGTCAAGACATTGCATTGTGGGTTACAATAATATTTGCAGTCCACTGGTTAAATCTCCTCTACCAAGAAAAGAGTGCAACTGTCTGGCTGTTTCTCAATTTCAAAAATGATGAGAACGTATTTGCGTTCTTGTGGTCTTGCCAAGTTACCTCAAAAGAACGAACTTGGAAGACCGCAAGAACAGAGAAAGTGTCCTGTAAGAAATGAAATGCTGCATTCTTCTCTGGTTGTTCGTGATGGTCACATGACCTTCACATGACCATGTACAGCATTTGTACGATTTATTGTTTGTCCCCTTTTCACAACATATACTATGCATAAAGACCTTACAAACATACATTACACAATACAAAATGAAACTAAATTTAATAAAAATTTCGGCAAATAAACACCCTTAATCTGTTTATGCCTTTATAAAGATTTTCAAGGTAATGTTTCCTTTACCTCCTCATTTACGGAAACTCCTGATAAATACGTTATATCTCTGAACTTTATTATTAAATCTAGATTAAATTCTGCGCTTCTCACCTTCTGTATTCGGCCGCAATGATTTCTAGGACTTCTCGAGCAGGTTTTGCGCTCAAGTCTGCGTCGATGCGTCCTTAATATCAAAAACGCAGGAACTTTCACGCCTCCTCTGTTCATACGGTCTTAAGTTTTGTAACTGAACTTTGGCAGTTTATGATTACATTACACAAGAACGCCAAGACGTAAATACGCTGAAGAACGCATATTGAGAAACAGCCTGAATCTTTCTGAATTCATACTCCATCATTTAGCACTCATGATGGCAAATGTGCTTGGAAACTGTGGAACAAAATGGACATGATATGATTCGGAATACATAGCATATACTGCAGCTTTAGTAAGAGTAGTATGCTCTTCAAAATATAGCGCAAACCCGTCACCCTCACATATACTCTGTACACAGAATAATAACCACACTGAATAAATGAATAAGTGCATAAATAATCAAAACAGACAAATAAATATTAATAAATAAAACATCAGACATGAGATTGAGCAGACTTCGGAGGGGCGGAACACTCGTGAATACCTCTTTTTTATTCAATAGGCCATGTAGCTGCTTTGCATATGGGGATTCTAAACCAAAGAGATTGTGTCTCATTGGTCAGATGTTCCTATCACTCAGTGAATGCTAATTCTGGTTTGTTGTTGTTGTTGTTGTTGTGGTTTTGTTTTCCATTGTACCTGACTGGCAAATTAACATTTAAAATACCTTTAACAAAGTTTTTTTCAGATGGAAGCTTATACCGAGCTCTTATATAGATATAGATTTACTCTGCTTCCTGTTTTTCTAATGCGGGTCCATCTAACCCAGTAAAAATAGCCTCTGAAATACAGACGCACGAGCGCACACACATACACACTCTGGTTCTCAGGCATCCAAACAATCATGTTCAGACATACACATACAAATAGTAAATCAACTGTCACACCAGATTCAGAAACAACAGCTGATATTGGTATGCAAAAACAGTCAAATACAATCTAGAGTTTGCGACTGAAACTTCACCAAATGTGCCCCCCGCCCCTATTTTTTTTTCACCTAAATATCTTATATTCTATTCATCTAGTCATCTGATATCTATTATATCTTTCAGATAAAATATAACCAACACTACATTATGGCTGCTGTCAATCAACCCACAATGCACCAGTGCACCCGCGAGGCACAGTGTATTCCCCTTTCATTCATGTCAAGCACTTCCTGTCTGGGAATGTTGAAGGTCAAACATTACCAACAATGTAATGGGTTATATTACATAAAAATTGTGCCAGGATTTATCTAGTTTGTATGTAAAATCATTCTCTTTCTGTCTCTCCGTCTTGCTGTCTCTTGGCAGACAATTAGATTTCCTGGCACCACTGTGCTTCAGGGCAGGACCGAACGAGGGCCGAAGAGAGCGAAAGAGGAGAGAGGGAGAGACTGGAGTGGCGTTCATGTCACAAACTTCAAAACATGTTTATTTTCGACTCTTTTGAATTTCTGATGCAGTAAAGGAACTGTTTTTTATAGTATTTGATACTTTTTTGTTGCTTTTGTTCATCTATGTACAAGACGAGTAGAATAAGACTTGCTTTCGCTTTCGTGTGGTTTTGTATGTACAGAGGTCAGACTTGAAGAATGGCGGGAGCGGTAGCAAAAAAATTCTTCTAGCCACAATAACACAGGTGATACAGCACGTTCACCTACAACATCCATCAGTGATTCGGAGAGCAGGTTCAATCCTTAATCTGCCCCCATCTGTGGATCTGAGCCCTACAGAGTTTCATTCACAAGAGCTGAAAGGCTTCAAACCGCTCAGCTGACTATGGGTTGTGTCCTAACGTCCCCCCGCCCTTCCCAGTTCCCAGTCTCTGTGGTTGTTCTGTACAGAAGAGTCAGTTCAGAGAAAGAAATAAAGGCAACTCCACTAAGGCAGCTTCCTGCTACCTGTGTCTGAACAATAGTCCTTGTTTTCCTTTTTCATGAGCATATGTTCACACTCTTGATGTTCAATAACAAGCACTTCTGTGAGTGTGCGTGTGTGTGTATGTGTAGATTCCAGTTTGTGTCCTGGCTCAAAAACAGTTATTTTTGGCAACACGAAGAGCTTTCAGGAGGATTTTTTGTCACTTGCAGTATAATGGCATACCCCCATTTCCTCACGTAACAGCTCTCATCAAATAATGATGAAGAAAAACAGAAAAAGGGAAAAAGAAGGTAAGGAGTTATGCAAAACATTTTTAAAGACATGGCATAAAATAAAACACAGAAATAGAAGTCCGGTGAGATGCTTGGTGGTATTCTTGGAGCAAAGAGAGCTGAAGGCAGAGTCTTGCTGGTCTTGCTATTTCTGTATGTGTGTGTGTGTGTCTGAGGAGGGAGGAGAAAATGATGCTGATGAGAGAGCAGAGTGGTTACACAGCACTTCAGAGAGCCTGCTGCCATGGAGACAAACCTCTCTGTCGCTCTCCCTGTTTAGGCTTTCCTTACCTCTTAGTTCAAAACAAATGAAAGAGCAAAAAGGCAACCAGACTTAAGGAGGGCGTCAGAGACAGAAGAGGAGTCTATCATCGGCACTTTGCATTAAACCCTGTGGCGCTCTTCCTCCTCAACCTCTTCCATGTGGTCACAGGCTTGTGACCAACTGCATCTGTCCATCTCCCTCACTATGGGGAGCCTCAGGGGCCGGGTGAGCTTCAGTGCTCGGTCTCCTAGGTGGAGCCTGGTAGAAGGTCTGCATGGGGGCCCCGCGGGAGCCAATGGCGGGCCGACCTGAGCTGTAGTATAGCTCCTCTGGAGGCTGGGCAGAGCGCGGAACCACTTCCAGAGGTTCTGGACTGCTGTCGGGGTAAGGTGAGTCTCGCAGATTGGTGATGCTGGTATAGAGGGAATCCCTTGCAGGTGAATCAGGAGGTCCACTGTGCCCCTGCCCTGCTGCACTTTGGGCACTGTGACCGCTATGACCCAAACTCTCAGTCAGGTCAGCTGTGTAGCTTTCAGACTCATCCGGGTCACTCTGGTAGAGCACAGACTGGGCACGCTGAAGAAGAAGGGGCTCTTCCAGAGCTTTGTAAAGCAGTTCCACATCCTGTGGTGTGCGCTGACGTGCTTCCCTTGAGCGAAAGTCTTCGTCATCCTCCATGCCAATCACCGGCTCGACCCCACCTCCGGCTCTCCCCATGCCCAAGTGGCCATGTCCTCTGGCCAGGCTGCCACATGTTCTGTCACCGCCCCCAACCCCTCCACCGCCTCTTAGATTATTGTGCACGAGTTCGGATATGATCATCTTCTCGAATGCCGCAGCATCTGAGAGGTTTCTCCGTATGCCGCCAAGAGTTTCTGAGCCACGGGGGTTGAGTAGAGGAGGGGGGCTATCTCCACCTCCACCTCCCAAGAAGTCACAGCTGCCCCCTGGGGCACCTGAACCCCCGACGCTGCGTAGAGAGTAACTGTTGTTGAAATTCCCGTTCAGAGGTAGTGTCTCCATGCCTCCGTGATCTCGGTTCTTTGACAGTGTGCTCTCTGTTGAGGAAGCAAATGAGAGGTGGTAAGAAAATGAAAAAGAGGATGGGAAAGTAAGCACTTCATTACCTATTTTAATCAAGACAGGGATTCACGGCAACAGAATCCATGATTGAATCAATAATGGCAAGAGCAACTTCCATCACAAGATTAATAGGATTATGGACAGAAGCAAGTTATTACCGGGGACGTAAATTGTGTACATAGACCCACAGGCTTCGCTGCACACGTGAAGAGGTTATCATTCTACAAAATTAGCCTATAAAGTACTGAAAATAGCAATACGATTGAAAGTAAAAAGAGTCTTACTTGGGTCACGGAAAGTTCCTGTTAATCCATGGTGAAGCCGTGTGAGGGCAGAATGAGACAAAAAAGAAAACAAAGGTGATCAATTATATATTCATACACTGGGCTATTCATGATACTGCATTCTTTTTTCTTGAAATGTTTGTCATTACAAATATATTAAAAATTCTTTTTTTTTAAATACTGTTAAATCCATCAAGACAACTTGACTTTAGAGATTTGTTCCATTAAACTGTAAGTGCCCTTCATAGTGAACATCGCAGGATATTCTGCCATGATTTCAGTTCAAAAGCATGTTCAAAGAGTATTAACCCTTCACACTTCTGTAATAAATGAAGACACTGGAAACTGGTGTAGTGTGGCATAGTGGGTTGCACCTTCACCTCACAGCATGAAGGTTGCGGGTTTGAGCCTTGGCTGGGTCAGTTGGCATTTCTGTGTCTAATCTGCATGTTCACCCTGTGCTCGCTTGGGTTTTCTGCAGGTGCTCTGGTGTTCCCCACAAGTCTAAAGACATGTGGTATAGATGAATTGGGTAAGCTAAATTGTCTGTAGTGTATGTGTGTGAATGAGAGTGTATGGGTGTTTCCTGGTGATGAATTGCAGCTGGGATGAAGTAAACTTCAAAATCAGCCAATGTGCAGGGGAAAGAGTGGATCTGAACACAGCTCCTTGGAGCTCTTTTTTAATGAGCTGGTTATCTAAATCAGGTGTGTCAAACCCGAGAGACATGTAAAATAAGCAGAGCTAGGTGTCATGAGGAGCAGGATTGAGAACCGCTGCACTACACTATCAGCTACAGTAAACAAGCAGCTAAATGTAATAAAATCATTTAAATTGGTAGTTAGTCATCATTCATTCCGCTAATGTAGTTGCAAACCGGTATGACTTTCTGTAAGTGGGCAAGATAGAATCCCGGATGAGTCAGTTGGCATTTCTGTGCGGAGTTTGCTGTGGTATAGGTGAATTATAAGCTAAATTGTCCGTAGCGTATGTGTGTGCATGTGAGAGTGTATGGGTGTTTCCCAATTTTGGGTTGCAACTGAAAGGGCGTCCACTGTGCAAAACATATGTTGGATAAGTCGGCGCTGTGCGACACTTGATGGCTAAAGAGACTAAGTCGAAGAAGGAAATGAACAATCACTTAAACAATATTCATAAAAATGAACGTATGATATTGCCATTTTGGTAACTTCACAATAGTAAGAATAATTATTCATAATCTGAACTTTTGAAATGACTTTGGTTATATTTGCTGTGATGTTCATCATATCAGCATTGCTTGAAGACTAAATAGCCTATTCATTTTTAGACACAAACATTTTAAGTTAATCTGGCCAACATTCCAGTGATATTAATTGAAAACCATCTAATCCACTGTAGGCGTAATCTTTATTATCACATTAAAATAAGGCTCCATTTGTTAACATTAGTTTATTAATCTAAGCTGATTAGTCGTTAGTTAATTTTTAAAATGCCATTAAATTAAAAAAGCTATAAGTGTTTTATTTTCACAGTGCTATTATATTTAAAATTAACTAAAATTTTAATGTACATTTTTGTTAATACATTAAATGTTCACTAAGCAATATTTGAAAACCAATTATATATATATATATATATATATATATATATATATATATATATATATATATATAAAAACTGAAGATCACAGTCCAGACCTACGCAGTAAGGGGAAATAAGCCTGGTAATGAAAAGTCCTGTGCTTGTTTTTGTGCTTTTACGACTTTTGCTTTTTTTTTTTTTTTTTTTTAGCTTGAAGCATTTGTTTGCTCTGAGCATTTGTATACATATGCTACATGTTTTGTGTCTTAATAATAATTCCATATGTCAAAAAAGCATCATATGCATACCTCGTATTTGGGAACAGTCACAGTGCCTCTTTCTTGGGTTTGGGAAGTTCAGAAATAGAGCCTCATTGTTTGCTTTTGGCAAGAAGATTATTCTGCGAGATGTTATTCACGCTTCAGCCTCATAAAGTCAGGACGATGTTTATTTCACGCGCCCTTTCACACGCTGGAGATGTTGTGATATTCTTTTAACTCGTTTGGCGTGTATTGAAAGCTGGAGATGCGTGTGGCGCCGCAGACCAAGGCGTGTGGGGGTTTAAATATTAATGCCCGGTATGATTTTAATCAACGCTCCTCTGTGCGGAGAGAGAGTAATTAGACATTCTAATGAGGCCCTCCTCCTACTTCCTCTCCATAAGCATGCTAAAAATGTCCTCTTAGCCGAGCCGAGTCGAGCGGGCGCACTATCAGCCTGACACATTACACAGAGAGGGAACGTTTAAAATATTCAACAGAGACGCTGTCTTAAATTTCACCCCACTGACATGGGAACCGCAGCTATCTTTCTCTCTCAGTTGGCACATGGAGGCGAGTGGTATGGCAAGAGAGCTCTATGAGGGGATATGTGTGTGCGGGACAGGCAGAGCAATGGCGATACTCTGTGTAGAATCTCCAGGGAAAGCTCTCTGCTGTCAGTCACTCAACTTCAGCCCTAGCTTTAATCGATGCTCTGCTCTGTCTTTCCAGCAGGAGGGATTAAAACACTGGCCAGATGGTCGGCCCCTGTCCACCCCTCTGTATCACACTGACAGACCGACAGGGTGTAAACTCACATGCGGAGGGAGACACACGAATCCATACACACACACACACACTTATGCGCAAGAGTGAATTCATCACATGCCAATTTGATTTTGGAAAAATCACATAACGTATTTGCGAATAAAGCACCGTTTACATCCAATGTGCCAAAAAGAACAACAAATCATAATAAACAAACAAATTCAGGTGACAAATTCAGACAAATGGAATTTGCTGTGGTTGGAGAAGCCACTGTCGGCCTTTTAATAATATAATTGAATTATAATGAAGACGAAACAAATTTTGGGTGCATAACACCGCACTTTGTTTAGAGCACGACCCCTCAAGACAATCTGGAAATTATAATATTAAACCACTTTGATGATGAACTGCAGCTAAGACATTTAGACTTTCCAAAACAATAGTTTAGATGTTTTACAATGTGGTCGGTCAACTAGTTTATCCATTAATGCCATCCATAATTAGGGTAGCCGGAGCTGGGAACACTTCTTAAAAGACATTATAACTTGAACGGCATCTATGCTTATGTTAGTCTGCTTTCCCTATCCCAAGGTCTCCATAATCTTGGATCAGGCCGTATCCTGAGCTGTATATAGTGAGATAAGATCCAGCGGTGGATCCTTGATGAACAGTCCGAGATGCACAGCTCTTATATGGGTATGTGCTCAAAACACATTGCAGTGCATGCCAGAGTGTGTCTGTGTGGTTGCGTGATGTGTGTTTTCATCGTTTCAATGTAGATGCAGAGTTGTTCAGAAACGCTGGGTAAAACGCTAGTGTGGACGCAGATCGATTTCCATTCTAAAACGTTGTTTTAACACTAAAACGTATTAGTGTAAACAGGGCCTTAGCTGATGAGGTACTACAAACCACCCCCCACAATTTACCCTGCCTAAAAGTGAGCTATAGCATGGAGTACAGAGAGAAAACGGTGAAAGACATATTGGTGCCTGCATCAAATTAAGTTGACAAACTAAGGCTGCATTTACACTGCACATCTTGATGGTCAATTTCGATTTTGTAGCTGTACCTGCTTACATCCCGTTTAAAACTGACTCTTATCTGATCGTCTGTATTTACACAGCACACGACAAAAGAGCGGGCACTGACTAACAGCTGATAATTAAAGAGTGCTCTTTTCTCTATTCCTGTATGTAATCTGTTGACAGGCTGTTTTACTATAGTTTATGACAGGAATGTTCTCATTTGTCCATCTTCTTTTAATATAAAGGCTTTTTTTTTAAAACCTTTAGGCAACTTAATGTAATATCCATGGCGTGATTTATGCACATGATGTATGCACTAGTTTTATATTAGTCTATATTGTTTATGTGGTGGACATTGCGCTCTCTCGCTCTTGTTATCATGCTTAAATACGACATTATAAAAGCTGTTTAAGTCCTCCTGTATGAGATTTAAGGTTTGGGACTCTGCTGAAGTCTGTTCTGAAAAGAAGGTGTCAGACTTGATGTCATTCGCTACGGTTTTTAATGACACATAAGTCATATAAACAGGTGCTAATCTGATCTACCTGCTTACACTGCAGACACTAGAACGCAGATCCGATGCACATTGGATACAATTCCACATATGAACAAGGCCTGAATCTGATTTGAGAAAATTGGAATCCATGTGATTTGCTTCTGCTTAAACATGCATGGGCCATATCCGATCTGTGCCACATGGAAGAAAAAAAAAATTAAATTGAGTCACTTGTGCAGTGGAGTGTAAATGTGGCCTAAGTTTATATAAAGGGAAAGCACATTAAATTCAAATAAAATGTATACTTTCATATAACTTTGAAAATAGAATACCAGAATTGGAATGCAACAACGCACCATTCTGTTCTACTCTTGTGAAGCAGCTATGTAAAAATAAACTACATTCCTATATAAAAACATAAAATGCATAAATACTACTAAACTGTGCTTAACTGGACTGCACTTTTATTATTAAAGCTCACTGACACAAAAGGGAAAAAGCAAAGATTTAAAGTATTTAAATAGTGATCAAATGATTTTTGCTCTAAATATGCCGAAAATACATATTGTTAGCATATAAACTATTGTATTAAATCACATTTTAGAGAGTTTCTTCTATAAATTTTAATAATATTTATGATAGCACCCCCCCCCCTTAAATACATGATCAAACAAACCAATTAATAAACAAATAAACGCCTTTTAACCTGAATTCAAATATAAAATGAAAACAAAACGCAGTATCATTGCTCTGTACGAAGAAAAAAAAAGAGCTTTTAAAAGAATTACTTCAATTTTGCAAAAGGGAAATAAAAGCTGACACATTTAGTAAGTAAGTAAGTAAAGTTTATTTATAAAGCACATTTAACTTCAGTTTGGCACTGGCCAAAGTGCTGAACAAAACCATAGCACACATTCTAAAATAGTAAAATAACAATAAAATTATTAATAAGAATAGCAGTATTACAGCAACAAAGCACAATAAAGATTAAAAGCCTGAGAAGGCAATAGAATAAAAAATGTGTCTTAAGTCTAGACTTAAAAAAATAGTGAGAGAAGAAGCACTCGTAATGTCCGGTCGCAGCTGATTCCACAAACGTGGAGCAGCAGCTGCAAAGGCTTTATCTCCCTTTAGTTTAAATCGCGACCAAGGAATTTGCTGTAAAATTTTCTTTGACGACCTAAGAGACCGAGCAGGTTCCGAATAAGTTTGGATATATAAGAAGGTGCTTTCCCATTCAGTGCTTTAAAAACAATAAGTAAAATCTTGAACTGAATTCTAAAATTAACAGGAAACCAATGAAGGGATGCTTAAACTAGTGAGATATGAGCCTGTTTTTTTGGTGCCTGTTAAAAGTCAAGCTGCCACATTTTAAACCAACTGCAACCGTGCCAATGAGGATTGAGGGAGATCAACATATGGAGAATTGCAATAGTCTAAGCGGGACTTGATAAGAGCATGTATGACGTTTTCCATATCTTGAAAAGAAAGAATTGATTTGAGGCTGGAGATGATCCTTAGCTGATAATAACTATTTCTTAAAGACTGAGCTAATTTGTTTTTCTAGACAAAGCTCTAAATCAAAGATAACTCCTAGATTTAGAGATATAAAGATATAAGTGCACATTTTACCTCTTAAGGCCGAAGGTATTTTTTACAAGCAATTTTTTATTTCTCTTTGCTATTTGGACTTATTGGAACCTAATCAGAATAAAACCTTTCCTATTTTGTATCATATTTTGATATGATGTACTTTTAGAGAAAAATTATGTCCATATGTGGACTTGTGGTCCGAATTTACACAAAACACTTTTTTTTCCAAACAGTTTTTTTTTAATGCATATATAACATATACATTTTTATGTACATGTTTTGACTATCAGAGAGTAAAAAACAAAATTTTTGCCCATTTAGGACAGTTAAAAATAGTGTTTGGGATATTGTATATGCTGCAAAACAGTTGCAGGATGACACTGTATGTCTGTAACAAGATGTGCTGTCCACATATGTGTCCACTAAACCCTTGGAGGTTAAAGAGACTTGTCATGCATCTGGACTCACTGACCAGTAGAGTTGAAGACTCCAGGTGATGGTGGTGTGAAGGTCTCAGCCAGCAGTGTGTTATAAGGAGAGCTTCCTGTACGGGTTTGAAGAACAGGGTTGGTCAGAAGATGATTGCCCATTGTACCTACAGTAAACAAAACAAAGACAATTCACACAAATGTTTGTCTTTTGATGTGTTTGGCTCACTGTGGCTAACAGATATTTAGAATTGTGATTTTAAAAATAAATTTACAATTAAAAAAATAAGATGGTTTCAACAGATGTGCGAACAATTGAATAGTTCAGATGCCAAAAAACTCAAAGTACCATCTGAAATGATAATGTTTCCCAGCCTCCAGTGTTTATGTTCAGTATTTTTTTTTTGTTTGTTTGTTTTTTTTTGTTTTTGTTTTTTACATTAAAGACCATGTAAATAGCCTATTCTTTTCTATACAAGTGACATAACTGAACATGTACATAGGAGATTGGGAAAAATGCTAATTTTAGAAGACCATTTCAGATGGCACTTGGATGTTTTTGCATCTGAAATCTTCAATTATTAGGCAAATTGTATTTTGAGGATAAATTTTGTTATTGCACAACTACAGTGCTCTTGGCCAGTCTAAAATGGTAAGAAATGCTTAAAACGGAACCTGACATAAAAAAAGTTTTGGCTTTCTTAAAAGAATATCATTATGAACACCATTATTAGTCAACTATTAGTGAATAATTATTATTAGGGTAAATCAAAATCAATGACTTTCCCATCTCACTTGTTTATTTTCACTTGTAAAAGTGAAAATAATAAACTCAACATTTCCAAATAAACATTTCTTAAAAAAATAATAAATAAATAAATAAAAATAAATAAATAATAAATAATAAAATAATAATAAAAAAAAAATAATAATAATAATAATAAACTTAACAATATCAACAATACAGCCACCCTCTTTTTCAATAACAGTCACAAGCCTTCCGGTAAAGAGCCCCTGTTATGGGTTTTTGAAAATCACCTTCCAAGCTGTGTGTAACACTGAATGAAAACATCCAGCTGAGGTTAAGACCTAAAAGTGCAGCATGTTTAAAAATATTGATTCTTTATTAAAATGTTTGACTCAGAGTCGAATAAACGAATGTTGGGTTCGGATCTTTTACTTGATCGCATCAACATCGATACAGTACATCACCAAATATGTACTTTCGGTTCTGTTAAAATGTGAACGCGCTTTTCCTCCACACACTAGCAGAGGCGAGGGGGATCACGGAACTGATCATGACGCAAAGATGATGATCACTGACAGAGAGAGATTCGGCTGCGGGCAGGGCCGGAGAAAACTGAACTGGAGCTCATGCCGCGCTTGAACCGAAAGTGAAAATGAGAGATGGGGGTGTGATTGTGTGTACAACAGCAAGAACTGTGTCGCTACTCTGCCACCTCAGGCAGCCGCCTGGGTCATCTCTATGGACGTGCCAGCCCTGGCTGCAGGGAATAAATGGTTAGAGTTAATTTTCACAACAATACCACAGTATAGCCAACTTAGTGCTGTGTTTGTTCCTATAATTCTTTCTAAGTTCCTAAAATCATTCAATTCTGATGATTGATGCAATACCCTACACTGCAGCGCGGGATTCCCCGGCCGTTTGCTATTGAAGGAGATTATGAGACTTTGTCAGAGTTTGACCGGGACTTTATCAGTAACTTTTACAGTTCATATGGACCAGTTTCCTCTTGCTGCGCATCATAACATGTAAGTGTCATTAAAATTGTTGCCTCATTTTGTGTAGTTTGCAAAGTATGTGTTTAATTGTGTGTTGTAACTTGTAATCACTCAGCATGGCTTGTGATCACGTATCGATTATGGATCAGTGCTTGTAATGTATCTCTCAGGTTAAATCTGATTGGGGCTGTTCAATTATCGCATCCAAAACCACGTTAAAAATGTGACGCTTCTTCTTTTACCGATTTTAAGTGCGTTTCTGGACTGGCAATCCTCTGCTGTTTGCCTTTGCTATGGTCACCATTAGCTGTTCCTGACACGCGCGGTGTGGTTAAATTTAAAAAGAGTTCAACTTATGCCACTGTGTGAGTTAATACGGATGTGTGTTGTTGTTATTACTTGGGTTTAGGTTTAAGAGTAGAGTAATATGCAGGTCTTTAACTTCATTACTTTTTTGCATTCCTGCATTGGGCTCACACATACTCTCTGGCCTGCTATTTCATAGCTGTAGAGAGCTTTTCTCTCTGTCTTGTGCAGAACGCAGTCGACCAATCGCAACAGACTGGGTCATCGGACCAATCAGCGCAGATTAGCTTCACGATAAGGAGGGGTTGGGAACAAATTAATCGCTGAAAGATTCATATGGGAGTCGCTAGGATAATCAGTTAAAAATAAATGCATATTATGAGACAATGACAGTGTTTTTTTTTTCTTTTTTTCCTTGCACTCATATCAACATGTTGTTTGAGACCCCTAAAACCAAATTATAACTCTTTATGATACAAAATAGAGGCTCTTAAATTAGGTTAGTTTCTTGATCTGGTCATAATCCACTTTTTGTGCAGCCGCAACCACAGACTGCCAGACACTGTTCAGAGAGGTGTACCGTTAACCTTGACTGTAAATTTCCTGCTAAAGAAGGCCCTAAAAGTTGAGGCTAATGGCCTAGTGGTACTGTGTGTAGACCTAGCACAGATAGTGCTTACAGGGATCTGAGTTTGATTCCTGGCTCGAGGTCCTTTGCCAATTCATCCCCTTTCTCTACTTCCAATGCTTTCCTGTCTGCAATGTTCATGGTCCTATATTGTAATAAAGCTGAAAGCCCCTAAAAAATAAAAAAAGTCCCCAAAAGTTCTCAAAAGGGTTTAAGTCAGGTAATGAAGGGGGCAAAGTCATCTGTTTTTCGTCTTTAAGGCCTTTACTGGCCAGCCACACAGTGGAGTACTGTGGTGGATATGATTGTTTAAAAAAAATAAATAAAAAAAAAGTCTTTTTGAAAGATTCAAACATTTTCCTGTACTATGCTAGAACAAAGTGCCTTCAAAAAATTGCCAGTACATCTGAGAGTTGATTTTGAGTCTATTCTCAACCTGAAAAGCTCCAACTAGCTCATCTTTAATAAACCCTGTCCATACCAGTACCCCACCTCCACCTTCAAAGCATAGGCCCATCCATCTGGTCCTTCAAGAGTCACTCTCATCTCATCAGTGCACAAAATCTTTGAAAAAATCTGTCTTCAGATATTTCTTGGCTTATTCTTTATTCTTCAACTTATGTGCCTTTCTTATCATGTCCATGTCTCTGAGAACTGAACACCTTGTACTTCTTGACAATCCAGGTAGGCTGCAGTTGTGGAATATGGCAGCAGTGGAGGGTAATGGGTTCCTAATGGGTAGCTTCATTTTTGATTCTTAAGTCTTAGGTGGTGAATATATATATATTTTCTAATTGACACATTTCTTGCGACCTTGTTGACTATTTGCAACATAACATGTGATGTTTCTGTGATCACACCCCAATATATGAGGGCCGGCTCACACTGTGCATTTTTTTAAGATCCTGAACGATACTTGGACCATTGGCTCCCATGTCACACTGTAAGATCTCAGCTGTCAAAAGTCAGAATGAACGACAATGAAGACACAACAAAACACAAAGTTTTTTAGTTTAGCGTCATCCAACCGTTACACTTTTACTATCCTTCGTTCTTAAATGATTCCTCACAGCAAACGTAAACAATGTGTAACAATGTGTTTTGCACACAGCGTGTCTCAATAATAAAACCTGGAAACCATTTGAATTGTCGCATGGTTTGTGCGTAATCAAATTTAGAGCTTCTATTGGTTCTTGGATTGATGCTGATCGCAACTGTTGTCACACTGCAGGAAAGTATCAGAAATCTTTTGACACTGCCAGAACTTCATCAGAGAATAAATCAGATCTCAATGGGCTGTCTGTGAACATATCAAACCATCAATCAAAGATCACCAATTTTAGCCAAGAATTTCAGGAAAATTTCAGGATTTCCCAAATTTGTCTCAGATGAAAAAATTGTGACTGAAATCTCATACTGTGAGCAGAGCTTTAAATATTGGTAGTCCCCTGCATTTTTGACATTTCAGAATCTCTTTTTTTGGCCAGTTTTTCCAGATGGTATTAAATTGTCTAATAATCATGTGCACCTTGATATAGGGTTCTTAATATATAGAGTATTTATCTTCTTTGGCCACAACCTCCCTCATTACACAAATCCACATCACCTGATATGCGTTAAATCCAAATATCAAGTCAAGTTTATGCTTGGAGTTGGAAAATATGGATACAATTATGATATGGTAATTTTCTTTTCAGCTAAGTCCCTTAATTTATTAATCTGGGGTCGCCACAGCGGAATGAACCCCCAACTTATCCAGCATTTGTTTTATGCAGCGGATTCCCTTTCAGCTGCAACCCATCACTGAGAAACACTCATACACTACAGACAATTTTACCATACCCAATTCACCTGTACCACATGGTTTTGGACTGCGGGGGAAACCAGAGCACCCAGAGAAAATCAACGCAATTACATCCAAACTCCAAACAAAAATGCCAGCTGACCCAGTTGAGGCTCGAACCAGTAACCTACTTGCTGTGAGGCGAACATGCTACCCACTGCATCACCGCATCACCATTATATTATATTATATTGTTCATTCATTAATTCATTTATTCATTTATTTATTCATTCATTCATTTTCTTGTCGGGTTAGTCCCTTTATTTATCCGGGGTCGCCACAGCGGAATCAGCTTATCCAGCAAGTTTGTATGCAGCAGATGCCCTTCCAGCCGCAACCCATCTCAAAAATATTATATATTACATTTTATTGTATTGTATTGTATTATATTTTATTGCATTATATTATATTATATTATATTATATTATATTATATTATATTATATTATATTATATTATATTATATTATATTATTATGTTATATTAAATAATTTTATATTACTTTTTCTATAAAATATTATTGTAATATATTATATTATATTATATATTTTTGCATAGAAGCCTTACTATTGCCCTTTGCAGTGTAAAAACATATACCACTGCTTTCCATCAAACCTCTCATCATATTTCGTATTGTAACATTGTTAA